AGGGAGAGAGAGAGAGAGAATTATGTGTTCTCTAATAAAACTCACATGATTCTTTGCTTAGATATTCCAGGCAGTCTTTGTGCAACTTCATCCACATGCAACCCCTCATCATTTTTACTTGAGATAAAGAGTGAATGATAGCAATTAACAAGAAAGGAACCAAATATTTTACATAAAAATAAATAAACCAAACAAAGCCATGTACAAGAAACCAAACAATCTTGTATGCTACTACACTAATAATATGCAAGAGAACCATCTATGACCATTATTTGTGCCGGAAGATTCCACTATATTAAATAATTTTTCTGATGAAACCCAAGGCTGAGTTATTTTTTCCCTTTTTTAATGGGCAAGTGGCTCACAGAAGCTTTAGGGAACTTACAGGGCATCAGGTTCCATGAAGACCTTCTTAACCCTGGTGTTGATATCGTCTTCAGATCCAACTAGGGCCGGATGTCCAGTAAACTGCATAAATCAAAGGAAGTTATTTATTTGTACGAGTACAGTGGTTTTTCACATACATAAAGATCACATTATAAAAAGGCCATGGGATTATATATTTGCAAGATCACATATATTTGATACAGGAAGGTCAAAACCGCTCCTAGCCATCAGTTCTGAAATCACGCTGCTATGAGTGTCGCAAAGTTTGACAAAATTCTTAGTCAATCTAACGACTGAGAGGGATTTTAACCTTCTTTTACCAAAAGTAACTGATCTTAAATGTATATTTTTCTGTTTTTCTTATTGACAAGGAAAAGTGAGGGTTCTTAATTCCTTACTTGGATATGCTTAGCAGGAGTGCTATTTCCCATGGGTCCATTCCCAAGAGCTGTGGTCACTGAACTTTTTTGAGGCTGAGGAGACCCACCCTACATTTCCACAAGCATTCCAATAAGTATGTTTGTAGTGCGCTTGCATGTGGGAAAATATTATATGGTCCAGTCCAACCACCGAATTAGGTGATCTAGTCTGCAAAAACCATGGTATGTGGGAGTTGACTCACGGGAAGAATAAAGACGATCACAAACTTTTGAGAAAGAAAAATCCCAAAGGTGTGTAGTGAGAGAGGGAATTATGGAAAGTGTAACAAAAATGAAGCACCAAAAAAAAAAAAATGTACCATCTGCTTAGTGTTGCTTAGATGTACATATATGCATTCCAAGAAGTGGCACGTAATTTCATTGAAGTCCGTAATAGGCCTGGTGAAAGAAATCAAGTAAGCCACATGTATAAAATAAAAAAATGCTGACATCTCAAATTCTGCAATACGAAGCGGATACATCGTACCACGGAGAGAGGGAGAGAGAGAGAGTTAACAATCTCCAACCAACTGCAAATTTGAACATCTAATGTATGAGAATAATTTAATCAACATTAACACGATATACAAGACAGATTTCAAAACTAAAAAAAAAAACACAATACAAGGGACTAAATCAATTGTAATAGTAGTAATTCGTGCTTTAATTTTCTACTCAACTCCATAGCTGGTGAATATTATCAGACACTCAAAAATTACACATTTAATAAGGAAGTCACCACCTATAACTTGGCTCCAATTCTCTCTTGATTTCTCACCTTCAATGCCAAAACTTATTTGGAGCATCCAAATCTTCCATGTCAAACATTTCTCTTAATGTCAGTTTAATACTTACACAACTAACAGTATAGCTATCTTTGATGATAGGGCCATCTGCATATAAAATTCTCAAGGGTTTCAGGGGAATTTCTAGTATTTCTTGAGAATAATATTTCTTAAGATTATAATAACCAGTTGTACCTCAACAGACGTATTCCCTCCATATTATTATCAGATCCCAGTTCACAAAAATATGCCCTACATATTATTATCAAATCCCTGTACAAAGGGAAACTAAGAATTCCAGAATTAATTGTAGTCTTCTTACATGATTGGTCTTATGTCTAACACCACAAAACCAAAAACCAGTGCATAGCTTACACCATCAAGCTACCTTCAATACGATAAGTGCCAATTTTCCAACTCATATAGATATGCACTGACCAGTAGTATATTGACAATATAGTTGCCAAGGCCTTCACACAAGACCATCCTGATCAAATTTCTCTGCATGATCAAAATACCAAATGCTGAATAGGGATTGGGTTAAAAAGTGGCAATGTCAGAACTTGTAATACAAATTCCCTCAAGTAAATGATCAGTAGGAATTGGGTCAAGGAGTGGGCATGTTAGAACTTGTAATCTTGCATGTTCTTCCCTCAATGAAATTTGTTATACAGTATGCACTGCAATATATGGTATACTTTTAAATAGTTACTTCTGTATATACGCTTACGCATTCTCCAACTGAACAATAATTAAAAATTGCCCCACAATCAAATTTAATCATAGTTGGGGAAGTTCATAGCATCCCTGTGTTTGCCTCATACAAAAACGATTCTAACCATTGTCTTTATTAATGACAATAAAGGAACTTCTGAAATGTGCACATCATGCATGCAAACATGGTTGCTGGAAAAGTTCTACCAACTCGTATCATTTTGCATTGTTATTTCAACCAACAATGGAATGGAATTTTCCAACAAATTAACATTATCATCAAGATCAAGGGAAACATAACTCAATATCTTAGTTCGGCTCAAACATTTCTCCGTTCATCAAATTATACAAACATAAGTAATTATCATATATGCAACCATGTACACTTAAACGGTGCTGAAGGATTCCATATATTGGGTCGATAATCCAAGAAAATGGAAAGATTGGGAAAGATGTCACATATAGAATTAGAGCTATCTTGAATCGATAATCAAGAAAAATGGAGAGATTGGGAAAGATATAACACATAGAATTAGAGCTGCTTGGACGTAGTGGAGATGTGCAACTGGAATTTTATGTAACTGCCACATACCAATGAAGTTGAAAGGCACGTTCTATAAGACAGTTGAGAGACCAGGTTAGTCTATGTGGCATAATGTTGGGCAGTCAAAAAATAATATACCCATAGAAGGAGTGTAGTGGCGATGAGGATGTCAAGATGGATAAGTGGCAAGACAACAAGGGATAGAATTTGAAATAAATGCATTTGAAAAACTTTGTGTAGCACCAATGGCGGATAAGATTGGATAATAAAGTAGACTTACGTGGGTTGACTATGTGCAGCGCAGACCCAATACAGCACCTATTAGGAGGTGTGAATTAGTTCAGAAGGAAGGCACAAAAAAAGACAATGTATAGGCCTAAAAGGACATGATTGGAAGTAGTGAAAAAAGATATGTATGACCCTTAATAGAGCAGAATGGCGGACCTAGATTCATGTAACCGACCCCAACTAGTTAGGAAAAGGCTTTGACCATGACGATGATGAATTATAACTTGTAAGCATCCACAAAAGTGGTTAAGTAACTTAATTTAGAAGCATCCAGAGAAGTGTTCAACTAAATGTACAAAAACAAACACAAGAAGGCTGCTACAAGAATTATATCCAAGTATCAAAAGTGTAATGATCCTCGGACCAAACCAGGAAGTAGCTAGGCAAGTGAATAACATCCTCAATTAACTCCAAAGACCATTTCACAAATATAAATCAATAAAAAGATAATAATCTTTTTATGGGGTATGAAACAACCCTTAAGGATATAACACCAACCTAACAATCATAATAATATAGACTAATAATGCATAATTAGCAACTTATCATCATAGACGAGTTGGTTCAAGCCAGTGTTCAAAAACTCAACTTGGCCAAGGTAAGTACAACTAGTGACCCTACATTGGAATAGCCAAAGGAAAACCCACAAGATTCTAACAATTGCATCATGTTAAACCATCTTCCAAAAAAAACAAGAAAACTAGGTAGATCACATGAGCGGATTTTAGCCATGAAAGGATAGTTTAAAATTTTTCGTCAAAAAAACTTCTTTGCTGATAACAAACCATAACCATGAAAGAGTAACGACTGAGAAAGCATCAGAAATGCAAGCAAGAAAGGGTGTGGATGAACAATTCTTTCACCAGTTTAGTAAAATTAGCAAAATTGAGAAAACTGACATTTTAAAATATCATGTTCGATAATATTTTAATACTTCAATATTACGCAATTACTGGAATTTCAGAATACAGCTTAGCATTATTAGAATTCCCTCAATAACAACAACTATACAGTGTGAGGTACATACAAAATTCAGATCGTATTATTGAACAATAGCAACCATGCAAGTCGAAATGGAACATTAATAGGCCAGCTTCACAAGCTACCTAAGAATAACATGTGTTTTTGAGTATAAACCCAAAATTTGCTTGTACATAAGCAATTGAAGAAGTAGAACAAAGAGATGAACTGCTAACATGCTCTCATCAAATCAACCCTACCTATCAAGCCATTCCATCTATTTCAATTCATCATTTTCTGTAAAAAAATACTTGAAGATATAAAAAGCATTCCAAGCTTAAAGTAGTATGATACTATAGCAACATGATCATGTAAAGAATTGAAAATTAGGAATAAATAAAAAAAGAAGTAAAAGGAATGGCACTTTGCACACACCCAATACTTGTAAAAGATAAAAAAGCACAGGATGTACCTAACAGAGAAAGCTGTAGCATGCTTTTTACCCTGAAAACTTTTCAAGTGACCAATGACACGAACATATATTCCATTCCTGCAAGAGAAAATGTAATGTAGTCCTATAACCCAAACCATCTGAAAGAATCACCAAAACTGTATTCATAATAGTTATTTCTAATGATCGACAGAACAATCTATAGCTGCAAATGATATAATCCAATAAGACATGGAAATAAAAAAAGAATGAAATAACCTAAAAATATACAGGGGTAATAGGGAATTAATACAACCAATTAGCTTTTAATATCAACCCAAATTGTTAATAGTCCAAACAAATATTATGATAATGTCAGAAACAACAACCATCCCATCGCACATATAACTATTACGAATAAACTATAGTACAAAACCTAAGGTATAACTAAGTAACATCAGCAAAAAATTTCAGGTCTATTAATATTTTTCACAAAAATAATGAGCTGCAATTCGGATAAGTTAATCAAATGCTTCTGTGTATCTATCAATTTCACATAAGAAATATCAAACATTGATTCAATTTCAGGACTACAATAACAGTTTAAAGACAAAATTAAGTACTCATATTTTCTAATCAGCAATGGATTTGCAAAGAGCAATTGGACAAGTAAATCACTGATCACAGATTTCAGCCGTTCACAAGCAAACTGAAAATGGTATATACAATCATTTTGATAACATTTTTCAAAACTAAGGGCAACTCAAATTACAAAAACATTATTGAAACTTTAAATGATACTGCAGTTTCCAGAATAATTTGGCAACAGAATAAAAAAATGGATATACATCTGGAAGACCATTTAGTTAAATGATTATATTTTCTCTGATTTTCCTAGGGAAGCTAGATAAAAGCTCTTAACTAAAGCAAACCTGATGACAGCATTAGTTTTTTACTTACTTCACTATGGCCATCTCATTACTATCTGTAGCATCATTGACCCTGGAAATGCATTGAAAACATCAGAGATGCATGATGATAATAGCATGTCATACTTAGGTCATGACCTTTGTTATTGAATTCATTTTTTAACCTTGAACAACTAAACTAAATGCACAATGATGCAAGCTTTACCATCTATGTACATCAATTCTTCCAGTACCATCATCGAGGATGAATTGCACATCTGTGACCCTTTCCACTTTATTAGCCACCATTCCAACCAACCTAACCTGGCAAAAGAAACACATTTTTGGAATACAGTATAAGGAGCTCATTAAGATTAAGCATTGCATCCATTGTCAATGGTGTCATCTCTATAAAAGCAGTTGCCTCAAAAAGAAAAGGCTAGGTTAGCTTGTTCGGCCCTTTGGGAAAAACTTCAAGGAATCAAACCCTTGACCTCCCTCACCCAAACCGATATGTATAACACAGAAACAAAGCCAGGGACATATAGGTTGAATAAAATTCAAACTTGAACAATTACACTAGCATCAATACACTTAACATGCTTCAACCCATGAGGCAAAATTATTTCTAATGGATAAAATGAAGATTTTTCTTAGCAAAAAAATAACAAAGCAGTTGCCTTTAAGGAGGGGGATTATATGTGTCCACAATCCATAAGTTGCATAATAGAACGGTATAGCCTGTCATTTTCCACTGAAATTATTTCATCAAAGGTTATGCCCTGTGATCTTTCACAAGAGCAGAGCAAGTTCTTTTGACATATTTCGACTAGTTTCATTTCAGATTTTTATTAATGAAGAAAACAACAAACTATAAAATAGAATGTAATAGAATAGAACAAAAGCATAACAAGGAATAATGATAGAACTAGAGCATCGATTGAGGCAGAGTTTTGGCTGAATCACAGTTTTTGAAGATGTATGAAAATTAATTTTTTTTTGTCTACGTGATACCCATCTTCAAATAATTAATAAATCATCTGTCAAGAGAATTTTTGTCATTGATTTCCTTGCCAACCACCTCTTTCAAAGGTGAGGAAACCCTTTGAATTAGACAAAATACAAAACATGTCAGTAAAACATGGGTATTACAAGAGAACATATACAGTACTATTAGCGCTACGCTCTTTGTCATTGTACCTAAGCTTTTCTCTCACTATCTTTTTTTTTCCTTTTTTGGTAAGAATCTCTTCTCTCACTAGATGCCACTCGCACTTCCCCTAAAATGTCCAGCCAGCTGATAATCAGTCGCAGTGCCAGGTCGTAAGGGTTTCCAATTAATCAAATATTCGCATCCATGAACATGACAATGAAAAGCATTGAAACTCACATTGTTTGATTCCAGAGCTTCAACGCCAGCGCTAGAATTATCATCTGATAATACTTGGCTTATCTGCTTCACCGTCATGGGAATCAAGGTGCTATTACCACGATTCTGCATCAATTATGATGAAATAAAAAACAAAAATAATAAATTCATCAAAATTTTCGTTTGGTCATTTTATTCATCCATAGAAAGGTATACAGAGAGAAAGAGAGGGAGAGGAGGGAAGAGAAATGACGAATAAAAAATAATAATAATAACGTGATGATAAACGATCTGAGAGAAAATTACCCTGGATGAAGAGGGAGAAGGTTCAGAGGATTGAGTAGAATCCGATGGCGGCATGAAGCCGCCTCCTGAAAAGAGTGAAGCGCCATCGAACTGACTTTGAAACATCTCGCTCACACACTCTCTCTCTCTCAAAACTGGAGTCTCAAATTAAATCTCCCTCTCTCTCTCTCTCTGTATTCCCTCTCTAAAGATTGAAGCCCCGAATCAAACCCTACTCCTGAAAGCGGATGCATTTATAGAGAAAAGAGGAAAATGTTCCCGCCAATATTCTCCATCACCGTTACCATAATACCCGTCTTCCCGCCAATATTCTCCATCTCAGCCATCATAATATCCTCGTAGATCCGAAAATAGACGGGTAAGATGCACCTAGGGCTAACGACGGGGCGGGCTTTGGGGCGGCCCAGCCCTGGCCAACTAGGCCTAGCCCGGCCCTTATCTCTAAAGGGGTAGCTCTAGCCCGGCCATGCCCTAATTCGGTTAAAACCATGGCCTAGGCTTGGCCAAGCTTGGCACCGCCCTAACTCAAGTCCTAGACCCCAGCTAAGCGTATCACATAAAAGTTGATTTACCTAAATTTTTTAGGGGTGCAGTTGGCATACGGATGCATCCATAGGTGTAGAGGTAAGGTGCACCTTCAAATTTTATCATGGTATATCATTTTGATGTAAAATGTTCTTAGGATTATCTCAAAATCTACTTTTATATCCAATTATAAAATTTTAAATTTAAAAAATAGTTAAAATCAAGTAGATCTATAAACATATGAAAATCTTGAAAATGTATGGTGTAGATAATATGTAGTAAAATGCATTATTTTTTAGACTTAAAATCTTTTTATTTTTCATGGTCATATATCTTGATGTCGAGATGATCAATCAAAGGGTTTTTCAACATTAAAACTACTTTTTCCGATGGATTTTTGAGGTGCATCGGTAGTTCTACAATATAAGGTGGCATCCTTGTATAAATTTTTTCCATTTTTTAGTAGCTTATCCCCATAAGTGTTCTTGGATTGGTCGAGTAATGGTGGAAAGATTCCTTGAAAAGGAGTTGTTGGAATCAAAGAAAGTAAAGCTAGTTACAATCAAGCTTTGGTAACTTGTATTTGTTCGGCAAGAGGCGAGGCTGTGAAAGGGGAGAGATAAGATTCGAATTTTAGGTGAAAATTAGGGCAAAGTAAGTTGTGAGAGCAATTTCTTCCTTCAAACTTGGCGCAAGTAATTTGATCCAGCAAGGTTCGAGGTTTATCCGTGAGTAAAAGGAGCACTTCCATCACTTTCCCTAGTGTAGGGGCTGAGATAGAAGACCAGCAAGTGGAGAGGTATATATCAATTTGCGGCTTCAATTCCAAGATGAACCCTCCTTACAGCACCTAACCTACGTGGATGAGGGTATCAAGTTGCCTATGAACCGAGGGGGAAAAAAGAAGGGGTGTTAGTCAGAGGCTAGTTGTGAGGACATCACAGCACAACAGGATGAGGCCTCCAACTTGGCGAGTTGCTGGCCCAATGAGCAAGCTTTTAGTGATCGATCAGGGGTACCGGCATACAACGCTCGATTTCGTGCCCCAACAAATGAACAATCAAGTGCTTGGTGTTTTCGATTTAATGAAATGGGTCATTGGGCAGCAGAGTGCCATCGACTGCTGCCCAATGGCATATGATGATCTTGCTGAGAAGGTAGTGAGATAAAAGAGATACCAGTTGTTGATTTGGGAGAATTAGTGTATGATGAGGAGGTTGGTCAAGTTGAACAAAGTGAGGAGGTGCCTCTGAACCAAAGAGAGATGTTGTTGATCCGAAGGGTTCTTTCTAGTCTGAAAGTCCTACAAGATGATAGCTAATATATTTCATACACGATGCACGTGATGGACGGAGTGTATCACTTGATTATCAATAATGGTGGTTTCGAGAACATGATGAAAAAGGAGGTTGTTAACGAAATAAGATTGAAGGAGGTAGAATACCCACAACCTTATAAGATTGCCTGGATTGACAGAGGAGTCGAAGTACTGGTTAATCCTCGCTGTCTCGTTAAGCTTTCTATTGGAAATTTTTATCGAGTTAAGGTGTGGTGTGATGTTGTGTCCATGGATGCCTCCCGCACATTGCTTGGTTGCTATGGTAATATGATCACAAGACATTTCATAATGGTGAGTACAACATTATACCTTTTCTAAATGATAGACAAAATATTGTTTTATCGTCACTACGAGATGAAGCCCCACTTAACTTTATTAAGGAGGTGGGTGTGACTTTACTTTTTCACTATCGACAATTTGCAGAGGCAAAGAGAAGGTATGGGGAAGGTTTTCAACAAAGTTGGAAAGGATTTAAGCAGTGCTCCATGGTACACAAAGCCTCTAAACCTTTGATGGAGGAATTTGCAAAGCTTTTATCGAAATAATTACCCACTAATGAGGAATGTGCAGCATTGTATTGACCTCATTTTGAGGTCTACTTTGCTTAATTTACTAGCCTATTGAATGAGCCCAAAAGAACATAAAGAGTTGCAGTACCAAGCTAATGAGTGGTCTAAGGGACTGATTTGGGTAGTTTCGGCCTTGCTCACCCTAATGAAAGATGGATCTGGCACATGTGTGTTAATAGTCGAGTCATCAACAAGATCATAATTAAATACCGGTTTTCAAAACCAAACTTGAAGACATGTTTGTTCATAGTTCTCGAAGATAGATTTGGGAAATAGATATCTTCATATTCGTATTAGAGAAGGTGGTGGAGGCCTTCCAACTTTCAAGTTGGGCAAACTCTCCCTCTCAAAACACCAAGTAGGAGGAAATTTTCAATGTCATTTATAATCAAATTATCAAAGAAACCATTAAAACAATCTTCAGTATGTAAAAGCCCATTTGCTAGACTAGACAATGACCAAAATATAACAAAATGTGAAAATAACTAGACCACCCCTATGCCCTATTTCCCATAAATTAAACTTGCACATCTTTGGCCTTTGGACTCATGGAAACTTTCACCCATTAAATTACTTGTCTCTATACCAAACTCGTAAAACCTCGACTTTAATGCTAAATCCAAGAAAGTCCCTTAAGAAAAAAAATACAGGTGTCATGCGCAAATCCCAAAATGACAAATTTAACAAAAAAAAAATACCAAAATCATCCCTGATCTAGCAAGCTTCTAGAGGCATTTTGCATCGATAACAAGAAAAAGACATAATGTTTTCATATACAAATATTATGTTAGATAATTTACATATAATTATTTAATAATTATATTATTATATAATTTATAGCAAACTAATAAAATTATAATTATATAACTTTTAGTTGTAGTTTACTATAATTTTACAATTTCTTAATATTATATGGTCAGAATTCATATATTATTATATATTGTATCGTTATTATGTCATTATACAAATATTATATAATAGCAAAAAAAATTAAAATATTATTATAATTTAATTTAACTGTAACAATGTAATTCATACTATAACAACAGTTATATAATTAGAATATTAATACGAATACAATTATTTTATCACTAATATTTAAGTATTTAATTGACATGTAAGTGTGTGAACACACAAGTGTATGTCGAATTATACAATGATATTAAACTATCTTGTGTTTTGTTCTCCCCTAAGATTGTTTGTTTGATAACAGATGTAGGTTCTCTTTGTCACATTTTTCTTTATCATCTTTTAGGAAATAAAAGGAAAAAGTTTGGTATATGAAATACTTTTATTATAGTATCATGTTAAGGACAAGTACTTTATGGCTTGGGAGACAACTATACTTGTGTCCCTTGAGGCATCTCACATCCATCTTAAAAATGGATGTGGAGTGATTGTCCAACCAAAAAGAGACAAAAACCAACGGTCTAGCATTTTTTCAAAACCTATTTTTTTAGTTTTTAGAATGATTATTTTTACATGATCCCCATGTTAGAGATTATGTATACCTAAAAAATTAAATCCAAAATCCATCTAAAAGATGGATCATGAAGAGATGACACATATCAATATGTGAGTCCTAGGACTCATAAAACTCTATCTTTATATCAATGTTATAATATTATATTAGCATTGATGTTATGATAATATAAATTCTATAATGGGAAAGGTTTATATAAGGGGTAAACCTTGAACTAAAACTATTGAAAAAAGTTGTTTCACCACTAGAAAATTTTCCAATTGATCATCTTGACCACGATACATATGGATATGAAAAAAAAAATGAACTTCAAGTCCTAAAAATAGTGCATCTTGTAACACATTATCTAGGCCGTCCACTTTCGAGATTTTCAAGCGCTCATAGATGGCTAGATTTGCACTATTTTAGAGCTTTCAATTTCATTATAGAGGTGTAGACTTTTAGACCATGATAAGAGTTTTGGCACCAAAAAAATTTCTTTTAATGAGATTTTGAGGTGCACTTTACGGTGATTATTTAAGGTTGACATCTTGTACAAAACGCCACCCTTCTATAATTATTAAAATAGTTATATATATTTATAATATTCATATTTAATATTTATAATGTTCATATTTAATATTTATAAATGTTATTCATTATTTATTTATGTTAGAAATATCTATATTGAAATGGTGATCATTTAAATTTTCACTTAAATCAATATTTATTATACAATATCATCGTCATCATTCGAATTAGTATCACTATATTACTATTGTAGTATTGTATTATTATCTTTATATATTAATATAACATTGTATCAATACTAACTTATTTTCTTTTTAATATAATATTTTATTATTTTATAATATAATATTCATATTCATATTAAACTGGAATAATATTATCATATTATTATAATAATGATTTATTTTATAATTATAATATATTTATCGTTATTGTTTATTTAAATAAATATTAACAATAAATTAATATTTAACTAAATAAACATTTATTATAACTAATAATTTTATGAGTGGAATATATTTTGTTGCTCATATATTACTCATAATTTACTATTTTTTTTTAGAAGTTACATATCTAATGAAAATGACCTAATATACATTAAAATATGTTTATTTTACTTTCATACCTTTTTAGTAATATATATTTCATATCCGATATATTTCTTTCCTAGAATATCTCAAAATACATATATTTTCTCTATCCTATCTTAAAATATCTCTCTATTAAAAAAAAAGAAAGAATTTGCTTTTTTTTTTGGAAAATAAAAAGAGAGCCTACGTCATGCGCT